CACCCCCTGCACATGTGTGGCAGATACCTGACAATCAGCTGACTGATGGGGGGGGCGCGTGCATGCGCAATGGATCTGTTGTGGGTGATGGCTTGCGTGCCGGCCGAAATGGCTCTGCGTGCCACTTCCTGCCTGCGTGCCATGGGTTTGCCATCATGGGCACAGGGTTTCCTATTAGAGCAGGAGGTTGGACTAGAACAGGGCTCGCCAACCTTTTGGACCTCAGGGACCACCAAACTCCTCATTTTAAGTCCCGCGGACCAGAGACCCTGGGAAAATCCCCCAAAAAAGTCTGCAGGAAAATCCCCCACCCCGTTTTCCTACCGATCGATTGTTCTTTGTTTGGGATCACAGGATACCGTCTCCAGCTCCGTTCTCAGGGGGGAGAAAGAGAAAGACAGAGAGACTTTGGGCTTCGTGCAAGGAAAGCAGCAGAAGCCGCAGAAGTCTTTCTTTCTCTCCCCCAAACTCTGCCAGAAATGAGTCTTTGTGAGATTTGTCGTGCCGGCGCAGCCTCTTGGAGCAGGAGGCCTTGCAGGGTCCCAAAGACTCATTTCTGGCAGAGTTTGGGGGAGAGAAAGAGAGACTTTTGCTGCTTTCCTTGCGTGCAGCCAAAAGCAGAAGCAGAAAGAAGCAGAAAAAAGCAGCCTGGATTAATTGCTATGGGGGGGGGGGGACATTTCTCTGTGGACCACCAAAATTTTCTCGTGGACCCCCAGTGGTCCCTGGCCCACTGATTGGCAACACTGGACTAGATGACCTACAAGGTCCCTTCCAACTCTGTTATTCCAAATCAAGGATTTTCCAGTAAGTCCCCAAAGTGCTTTTTCCAAAAGGCAATTGGACTTTTTGGGGATTTTTTTTTGTTGTTCTTTGAAAACATTTCCCTTCTCATCCAAGGAGCTTCTTCAGTTCTAACTGATTTCAGTTCTAACCGACTGAACTGAAAAAAAAAAAAAAGCTTTTGGGGGTTATTCCACAAGTTTCCAAGTGCAGGTAGTCCTCGACTGACGACCACAATGGAGCCCAACATTTCTGTTGTTAAGTGAGCCATTGCTTTAGTGAGTGTTGCCCCCATGTTACGACCTTCCTTGCCACAAGTTGTTAAGTGAATCACTGCAGTTAGTAACCTGGTGGTTAAGTGAATCTGGCTTCCCCGTTGAGTTCGCTTGTCAGAAGGTCACAAAAGGAGATCATAGAAGAGCCGCGGTGGTGCAGTGGTTAGAGGGCAGAGCTGCAGGCTGCTTCTGCTGACTGCCAGCTGCCTGCAATTTGGCGGTTCGATCCTGACCAACTGGCTCAAGGTTGACTCACCCTTTCAACCTTCTGAGGTCGCTAAAATGAGGATCCAGATTGTTGGGGGCCATATGCTGACTCTGTTAAACTGCTTAGAGAGGGCTATAAAAGCACTGTGAAACAGTATATAAGTCTAAGTGCTATTCCTTCCTCCCTTCCTTCTTTCCTTCCTTCCCTCCCTCCCTTCTCTCCCAGTGGTTAGAATGCAGTATTGCAGGTTAACTCTGCTCACTGCCAGCAGTTCGATCCTGACTGACTGGCTCAAGGTTGACTCAGCCTTCCATCCCTCCAAGGTCGGTAAAATGAGGACCCAGATTGTTGGGGGCCATATGCTGACTCTGTAAATTGCTTAGAGAGGGCTGGAAAAGCACTATGAAGTGGCCTATATGTATAAGGGCAATTGCTGTTGCTATCACATGTCCTTGGGACACAGCAATGATTCATAAATATGAGTAGCTGCCAAGCACCTGAATTTTGACCACACGATTATGGGGATGCTACAAAGGTTGGAACTGTGAAAAACGGCCATAAGTTCCCTTTTTCAATGCTCTTGCAACTTTGGACAGTCACTAAATGAACTGTTATAAGTCAAGGACTACCTGTATGGAGACGCCTGCTCAAGCTCAAACACAACCACCTGATCGATTAAAGTTCAATGCTAAACTGGCATCCGATAAGAATCAAGAAGGGTTGGGCTTGGATTGCTCACAGCAACATAATCACTCTAAGATGATGACCTACAGATTAAGATTTACAGATTAACAGAGTTGGAAGGGACCTTGTAGGTCATCTAGTCCAACCCCACCTGCCAAATCATGGGATCCTACACCATTTCTGACAAACGGCAGTCCAATCTCTTCTTGAAAGCCTCCAGTGATGAAGCTCCCACAACTTCCAAAGGCAACTTCTGTTCCGTAGGTTGATGGTTCTCACTGTCTGGAAATTTTTTCCTTATCTCTCCTTGTTCAGTTTCCATCCATTATCCCTTGTCTGGCCTTTGGGTGCCTTGGAGAATAGCTCGACCCCTTCCTCTCTGTGGCAGCCCCTCAAATATTGGAAGGCTGCTCTCCTGTCTCCCCTGGTCCTTCTCTTTACTAGACTAGCCGTGCCCAGTTCCTGCAACTGTTCTTCATATGTTTTGGTCTCCAGTCCCCTCATTATCCTGGTTGCTCTTCTCTGCACTTTTTCTACAGTCTCAATCTCTTTTTTATAGTGTGGTGACAAAACTGGATGCAGTACTCTAGGTGTGGTCTTACTAAGGCTTTATAGAGTGGTATTAGTACCTCCCTTGATCTTGAAAGTATTCCTCTGTTAATGCAACTTAGGATTGCATTGGCTTTTTTGGCTGCTGCTGCACACTACTGGCTCCTATTTAGCTGGTTGTCCACTAAGACTCCAAGATCCCTCTCATAGTTCCTGCTATTGAGCCTGGTTTCACCCAGTCTGTATGTGTACTTTTGATTTTTCTTGCCTAAGTGTAGGACTTTACTTTTCCCTACATTGAATTTCATTTTGTTGGATAGGGCCCAGTGTTCTAGTCTGTCAAGGTCCATCTAGATCTTGAGCCGATCTTTTTGGGTGTTAGCTATTCCTGCCAGCTTAGTATCATCTGCAAATTTGGAAAGTTTCCAAGTCATTAATGAAGATATTGAAGAGTCCTGGGCCTAAGACGGAACCTTGTGGCACCCCACTGCTTACTTCCTTCCATGTAGACTTAGACCCATTAAGGACTACTCGTTGAGTACAGTTTGCCAGCCAGTTGCAAGTCCTCTCTGTGGCAGCCCCTCAAATATTGGAAGGCTGCTCTCCTGTCTCCCCTGGTCCTTCTCTTCACTAGACTAGCCAGGCCCAGTTCCTGCAAGCATTCTTCGTATGTTTTAGCCTCCAGTCCCCTCATCATCCTGGTTGCTCTTCTCTGCACTTTTTATAGAGTCTCAACATCTTTTTTGTAATGTGGTGACCAAAACTGGATGCAATACTCTAGGTGTGGTCTTACTAAGGCTTTATAGAGTGGTGTTAGTACCTCCCTTGATCTTGATTGTATCCCTCTGTTAATGCAACTTAGGATTGCATTGGCTTTTTTGGCTGCTGCTGCACACGGCTGGCTCCTATTTATCTGGTTGTCCACTAAGACTCCAAGATCCGTCTCACAGTTCCTGCTGTTGAGCCTGGTTTCACCCAGTCTGTATGTGTCCTTTGGGTTTTTCTTGCCTAAGTGTAACTTAACTGCACCCCGACCTCTGCCTGCTCTTCTCCTGCAGCTACTTCATCCCTTGCTCTGTCTGCAGCATTTCCTTCTGCAGAGGCAGCAAAAGAGGAACTCTCCTTTCCTCCTTCTAAATATAGACCCATATTCCTGTTTGGGTTTTGCCACAAATGTCTAACATATCTAAGGCATCCTGTTTCTTTTTCTAAATCACGCGACCCTGAGCTCGGTCACTTGTGCCCCGGTTCTCCCTCCTTTGGATAACTGCCATGCGTTCTACGTGGGGCTACCCTTGAAGAGTGGTTTGGAACAGGGGTGGGATGCAAATGTTTTTATTACCGGTTCTGTGGGAGTGGCCATGTGACTAGGTGGGCATGGCTTCTTCTTCTTTTTGCAACACCCTATGCTCTATTTTTTTCTTTTCTTTTGCCTCCTGGGCCTCAGGAAAGGCTCCTTGGCAAAGCAGTAAGACAGCGAGGGGGATTCCCAGCACAGAAATGGATCCATATAAGAAAAATAAAAAGAAATAATAGGACAGGGACAGTAGGCACGATTGGTGCGCTTATGCACACGCCCCCTACAGACCTCCTAGGAAAGGGGTGAGGTCAATAGTAGACAGTCTAAGGTTAAAGTTTTGGGGGTTTGGGGAAGAAACCACAGAGTCAGGTAGAGTATTCCAGACATTGACCCCTCTGTTGCTGAAGTCGTATTTCCTGCAATCAAGTTTGGTGCGGTTTGTTCGGAATCTGTCCACCAATTAGTTGGGTTGGCAATATATAAACCAACAATGTATATTTGTAGCTTTAAGACAAAATCACTGTATTGATTTATACTATATTCCGATTGATTGATATTGCAAATTACCATAAGAGGGAGCTAGAGATCACAGCTTGCTATCTCTGACATTCTGTTGCTATCTAAGGTTCTCTGTTGTATTTATGCTGTGCTTATACTTTGATATCTGTTTACTGTAAATGACAAAGACAACCGGAAAGAAGACTTTGTAATTGGATATTCTTTGGAATGTAAAATATATATGACCTGGACCATTTATTGGACTGTGCTATTTCTTAAAGTAAACTTTAACTCAATTTAGTGTATCTGTGTGTGGCTGAATAATTATTCATAACTACTCTCATAAACGTTTCCATGTGCATATCCTTGTTACTCAAGGGTTATTCTGTACAAATCATAATACGGTTAACCTTGAGTTTGTATCTATTGTGTGTGTCTTTGCAAAACCCTGCTTCATCAGCCATTTAGGGAGAATCTTTCTTTATTTTTCCACAGTATTCTTCCCCAAAATGTAACACAACCAAAAGACATCTGACATATCACGTCCGTTTCCTGCCGTAACTTCCCTTTTAAGGAGTTGGCAAATCTGTAGCCAGACACTATTCAAAAGCAACTGATTGTGTGGGTGACAATCCAGACTTGTTTACATCACAGTCAAGGAGAGCCGAGACTTGTTGCCATTTTAACGAAACCGGCTTCTCCAATGGCTTGTGGAGTCTTCCTTTCCGGTCTGGTTTTCGTTGTGCTTTCCAGCCTGTCTTCAGCAAGGAATGGAGGTGAGTGATCAGGCCGAAAGGCTCTAGACAGAAGGAACTGAGATAGTGGATGAAAGAACAACAGAATAACAGCATTGGAAGGGACCTCAGAGGTCTTCTAGTCCAACCTCCTGCTCATGCAGGAGAAATATACCATTCCAGGCAAATAGCTGTCCAGTCTCTTCTTAAAAACCTTCAGTGTTGGAGGATTCACAACTTCTGGAGGCCAGTTGTTCCACTGGTTAATTGTTCTCACTGTCAGGAAATGTCTCCTTAGTTCCAGGGTTAACAGATAACAAATAATCAGAGTTGGAAGGGATCTTGTAGGTCATCTAGTCCAACCCCCCGCCCAAGCGGGAGACCCTACACCATTTCTGACAGAGGGCAGTCCAGTCTCTTCTTGAAAGTCTCAAGTGATGGTGCTCCCACAACTTCCGAGGGCCAGGTTGGTTCTCTCCTTGATCAGCTTCCTTCCATTGTTTCTTGTCTGGCCTTCGGGTGCCTTGGAAAATAGCTCGACTCCCTCTTCTTTGTGGGAGCCCCTCCAATGTTGGAGCACTGTCTCCCCTGGTCCTTCTTTTCACTAGATTAGACCTACCCAATTCCTGCAACCTTTCTTCGTATATTTTAGACTCCAGCCCTCTAACCATCCTAGTTGCTTTTTTTCTGCACCCTTTCCAGGGTGAATAACAGTAACTGTAAGATGTTGGACTCCATGTTTCTGCTTATTAGTCATGGCCTCTCCTAGGATGCTCCATTGGATTTGCTACTCATCGGGCTTCCAATTCGTTTAAAGATAAGAACATTGATGGCTACTGCTAAGCCTGACGGAAGGGACATTGGGACTAAAGAATTGATCTACTCCAAAAAAAAAAGATCTGGTTCTCCAGACTCATTTTTCTTCTTGTTTCTCTTTTCACGTTCCTTTGTTTGGGAGGGCGGGGTTCACAGAAATCATTGATAATTTCTAGGAATCCCGCAGTATCTTCACCCAAATAGCAATCTCACTTTCCATGGTTAGTTGTCTTGGCAGCAGAGGAAGAACCACTGAAGGGGTGGTAGATATTTTCTTTTGGTTAGCACAATGATGGCTTAGTGTGAAAATGCTTAGCTGGGGAAGTGAGTTATGGCCCTCCCCAGAGGTGGCGAATTCAGCAGGTTCTGACCAGGAGAACCGGTAGCGGAAATTTTGAGTAGTTCGGAGAACCAGCCAATACCAACTATGACTGGCCCCTCGCCCCCCTCTCTTCTCCGCCTCCCGAGTCCCAGCTGATCGGCTGGGTCTCCTTTGATTGCCCTGCACAGGAGAACGGAGCTGGAAAGCAGGTTAGTGGGGTGGGGAGGGAATAGGAATTTTGCAGTATCCTTCCCCTGCCACGCCCACCAAGCCACGCCCACCAAGCTGCACCACGCCCACTAAGCCACACCCAAAGAACCAGTAGTAAAAAATAATTGAATCCCACCACTGGCCCTCCCCATCTCCGATCTCCTGCCTGTGGTCTCCCATAGTCCCTTTTGAGGGGCGCTTCAAAAGGTTGGATAAGTGAGGGAGCCCATCTCGTGTCACTTCCGATGGTGAGATGGAGCACCTTGTTTTCTCAAGATGTGGTGGTCCCACTGTGAAGGAAATCGCTCCAGGAAGCAACATTGCTTCACACCAACTTTGTCCCTCTCAAATGAAGCCACTAGGTGGCAGGAACTTAAATGAAATCACAGCCATTTATTCCGCATTTCTTCTCTATGACTCGGGAATCGGCCCACTGCTTTGGAGTTGCGTTTATTTGGAAAGAAACTTCTGTGCTTGTCCATGTAGGCATTAAACAACCCCCAGTTAGGGGGTAATTTGATGGAGGAGACAAGGATGTGGCCCAGAGCATAATCAGTCATTTGGTGCGCCATCACTCTTGTTTCAAAGCCATTTGACCCCTGAAATACTGTTGTAATGACGAGGCAGTCGAGTTGTTTGATCATGAACAACTGAATCATGATGATCTTTATTGGAGTCTAGTCTTGCATTTATACACATTTTTAATTATCCTCTAACATTGGTTAACTTTGGTTACTGCTTAACTTTTATTACTGTTTAGCATAGTAATTAACACAATTAATTATCTCTAGTTAAAGTCTAACATATGTTGACTTCCTCTCTCTAATCCTCCTTTAGATTAGTGGCTTTGTTTGCCTGAGTTGTATTTGCTTGGAAACATTCTTTATCTGAGGTTTGCCATCCGAGATTGGAACATTCCCGCAATTACAACTCTACAAAATACCCCCATTGATTTGGGGTTCTTTGAACTGGTGCCTGTGGTTGTGCTTCTCTCGTTGGCTCTGAAGAGTGCTTTGAAGTTTCACTGAGGTGAGAAGCAACCTGGAATTAAGGAGACACTTCCTAACAGTGAGGACAATTAACCAGTGGAACAGTTTTTGCCACCAGAAGTTGCGGATGCTTCGTCACCGGAGGTTTTTAAGAAGAGACTGGACAGTTACTTGTCTGAGATTGTATAGGTTCTCCTGCTTGGGCAGGGGGGTGGACTAGAAGACCTCCAAGGTCCCTTCCAGCTCTATTCTGATCCTTATCCTGGAGGGCTGGAGGCTAAATGGTATGATAAACATTGAGGAAGGGAAGGATGTCTGGCTTATTGAAGGGAAAAAATTAAGGGGGGGGGGGAGAGGGGACATGATAACTGTCTTCCAGTACTTGAGAGTCAGTCACAGAGAAGTGGGGATTGACGTATTCTCCGAGGCACCAGAACTCAGGACTAGGAGTAATGGTTGGAAGCTTGTTAAAGAGAGATTCAAGCTAGAAGTAAGGTGCAATTTCCTGACACCGAGAAAGCCTAACCCATGGAGTAGCTTTCCTCCTGGGGTTGGGGGTGCTCCATCCCTGGAGGTGATGATATAAGGACCCCTGCCTTGGGCAAGGGGTTGGACTAGAAGACCTCCAAGGTTCCTTCCAGCTCTAGGAGTAGAAGTGGTATTCAGCAGGTTCTGACCGGTTCTGGAGAAGTGCTAGCGGAAATGTTGAGTAGTTCGTTGAACCGGCCAATCCCACCTCTGACTGGCCCCGCCAACCCCATCTATTCTCTGCCTCCGGAGTCCCATCTAATCGGCTGGGTCTCCTTTGGTTGCCCTGCTCAGGAGAACAGAGCTGGAAAGCAGGTCAGTGGGGTGGGAAGGGGGATTTTGCAGTAACCTTCCCCTGCCACGCCCACCAAGCCATACCCACCAAACCATGGCCACAGAACTGATAGTAAAAAATGTTGAATCCCACCACTGCCTTCCATCCTTCCAAGATCTTTAAAATGAGGACCCAGATTGTTGTGGGGGCAAGAGGCTGACTCTGTAAAGCACTTAGAGAGGGATGGAAAGCACTGGGAAGCGGCATATAAGTCTAAGGGCTATTCCTAAGAGGAAAGGGAGGGAGGGAAGGAAAGAAGGAAGGAAAGGAAAGGAGAGGAGAGGAGAGGAAGGAAAGGAAAGGAGAGGAGAGGAGAGGAGAGGAGAGGAAGGAAAAGAGGGGAAGGAACGGAAAGGAAAGGAAAGGAAGGAGAGGAAAGGAAAGGAGAGGAAGGAAAGGAAAGGAAAGGAAAGGAAAGGAGGGAAAGGAAAGGAAAGGAAAGGAAAGGAAAGGAAAGGAAAGGAAGGAAAGGAAAGGAAAGGAAAGGAAAGGAAAGGAAAGGAAAGGAAAGGAAAGGAAAGGCGGGCTGTGGTGACATAGTGGTTAGAGTGCAGCATTGCTGGCTGACTCTGCCCACTGCCAGCAGTTCAATCATGATCAACTCAAGTTTGACACAGCCTTCCATCAGAGATGGTATTCAGCAGGTTCTGACCGGTTCTGGAGAACCGGTAGCGGAGATTTTGAGTAGTTGGGAGAACTGGCAAATGCCACCTCTGACTGGCCCCGCCAACTCCATCTATTCTCCGCCTCCCATTGAGTCCCAGCTGATCGGCTGGATCTTCTTAGGTTGCCCAGCACAGGAGAACGGAGCTGGAAAGCAGGTTAGTGGGGTGGGGAGGGAATGGGGATTTTGTAGTATATCCTTCCCCTACCACGCCCACCAAGTCACGCCCACAGAAATGGTAGTAAAAAAAAATTGAATGCCACCACTGCCTAGGATTCTGTGGTTTAACTACAATCTGGGTTCCTCTTTCTCAGATGTTAAGGCCCAGGATTCATGGCTCTGGCAACCCCGGGGGCCTGTTTGGGTCGTCATAGGGGAAGTTCTCCACCTGAACTGCAAAGTGCATAACAACTTAATACCTGGTGGTGTGAAATGGTTCTTGGGAGAAGGGCCTCAGCGGAAGCTCATCTATGCAGACATCAAGACCGATGAAAAAGACAAAAGATTAACAAGGAATTCTCCAAATTCCAACACGGATTTCACCATCTCCATCCACAATGTTACTCTGGAAGATGCGGGGACTTATTACTGTGTGAAGGAGAAGAAAGACATTCATGGAGATAAAGATTGGCTTAAAGGACCTGGGACTCAGGTGGTTGTAGAAGGTGAGTGTGAATGTGATGACCCAAAGGGGCGTTGCGTAAAAGCAACAAAGTCACAAAAGTAGGTAAAGTCCCTTTAATTCCCCCAATGTCCAGTTATCATCGGCTGGAGAAAAAAAACTCTCCCAAGAACAGTTTTTAAAGGGAAGAAATTCCTTCCGAACCCAAAGTACATCTAAATTATAAATAAAAACCAACACAAACCACACTGCAGCAATTAACGAGACAGGGCAGGATAAGGAATTGCAGACTTCCAAAAGATAGCGAAACACAAACAGCTGTGAGGATGCCAGAACCCAGATAAGACGTGATAAACAAAGATAATGCATGCTTCGCTTCCAGCAAGGTGCTGTGTGCAAACGCCCTTTTAAAATCCTGTTTTTCCAGCTGCAGCTAATGAAGGGAATCAGGGCCCTTTTCTCCCCCATAACCCACGCAACTCACGTTGCTCCCTTCTCCATTCCTCCCTGTGTGCCCTAGGATGAAGAGGGGGTGGGCCTGGGTCATCCTATGAATTCCCTCTCCCTTGTTCTACCTCTTTCCCTGCTTTGCCCAGCCGGACTGTGCACTTCCCAGGTTCTTCCACAGCCACCAGAGCCACACTCCCACTCCCTGTCAGCTGCTCAACCTCCTCCTCAGAATCAGATTCCAACAAGGGGCATGATAGTGAACAAACGATGCGTGAAGTTTGTTTATTTGCCTTCTTGATCTGGGGACCTGTGTGTTAGTGCTATAGTTGTGCCTGGTTCCAGATTTGAACCTGATATACCCAAGTCCCTTGAGTCCTCCAGAAACAGAAGAATAGAATAACAGAGCTGGAAGGCACCTTGGAGGTCTTCTAGTCCAACCCCTTGCCCGAGCAGGAGGCCCCCCCATTGATGGAGCACCCACAACCTCTGGAGGGGTTCTACCGATTGATTGTTCTCACCCACAGGAAATTTCTCCTTCGTTTGATGTTGCTTCTCTCTTTCATAAGCTTTCGCTCATGGCTTCTTGGCTTGGCCTCAGGTGCTTAGGAGAACAGGCCAGACTTTTCTTCTCTGTGATAGCCCTTCAAATATTGGATGACAGCTGTCATGTCACTTCTAGGCCTTCTCTTCGTTAGGCAAAATGTACCCAGTTCTCTCAAGCGACCATCGTATGTTTTCGCCTCCAGACGCCTCTTCGTCTTTGTGGCTCTTCTCTGCACTCTTTCAATTTGTTATAGAATGCACAATAACAGAACTGGACGGGATCTTGGAGTTCCAACCAGTGCTGGGATTCCAAAAAATTTTATTACCGGTTCTGTGGGCATGGCTTGGTGGGCGTGGCAGAGGAAGGATATATTGCAAAATCCCCCTTCCCTCCCCACCCCACTAACCTGCTTTCCAGCACCATTCCCCTGAGCAGGGCTGTGATGACCCAGGATGGGATACAAAATAAACACAGTCACAAAAAACAAGTAAAGCCCCTTTTATTCCTTCACTTTGCTTCCAAGTTCCAAATATCCTTGACTGGAGACAAAAAAACTCCCACACAAACAGTTACAAGAAGGAGGAAATGCCTTTTAAACTAAAAATGCCTATAAATTATAAAGAGTAAAAAAACAAAACACAACCAGGCAAGATAACGGCCAGAAGATGTCCACAGATAACAGAACACACACTGGGAAGGACACCAAACTCAGAGAGGAACAACAAATTAGAGTTATTTCCAAGCTTTGTTTCCAGCACTCACCTGTATGCATGTACGTCCTCTTATCCAGTTGTCACAGCTGCAGCCCATGAAGAGGATCAAGGCCCTCTCTTCCTGAGTAGACCACGTCTCTCCTTTATCCTCTCCTCCCTGCATGCCCTAAGATGGAGAAGGGATGGGCCTGGGTCCTCCTCTGACTGCCCAGCCGGCCTCTGGCCCTTCCCCAGCCTCCTCCACAACCTCCGGAGCCACACCTTCCCCTCCCTGTTGCCTGTTTCTCCTCTCCCTCAGAGTCAGTCTCAACCAGGGGCATGACAAGGGCAACAAAAGGACACCCAACCAATCAGCTGGGACTCAGGAAGCAAATAGATGGGGGTGGGGCCAGTGAGAGGTGGTATTTGCCAGTTCTCCAAACTACTCAAAATTTCCGCTACCGGTTCTTCCGAACTGGTCAGAACTGGCTGAATACCACCTCTGGTTCCAACCCTCTGCTCAAGCAGGAGACCCCAGAGAAATGGCTGTCCAGTCTCTTCTTAAAAACCTCCAGTGTTGGAGCACCCACTGCTAAGCCTGGATTCCCCAACGGGTGTTAAGGAAAACAAACTAAACAGAACGTGCAGCAAAGTCAGATAGGAAGACAGGTAAATGTGTGAGATAAGTTTTCTAGTTAACACGCAGTAAAAATACAGATACGCTTGTGCTATCAAAAATTATAATTTATTCCATTTAAGAATTATAGCATAGTCATTATAAACAGTCCATTAGTCAAATACCAAATTCAGTCAAGTCTTGTCGAGGATACTCTAATTGCAAAGTCCAGTGTCGAATAGCCAGTGTCAGTACACATATAATAAATCTGTCCAAAACTTATCTTCTCTCCCTTGAGAAATATCTTCAAAGTAATCCAACACTTCTTCTCCTCCCCGATCCAGCAAGAATGCAGTCTTCAATAAGCCAGCCAGTAAGAGCCAGAGAGTGCCTTGCTGCTTATATAGTACTTTTACAGCTGCACCCTTAATTACATTCCTTTAGCTTAAAGTCACATACACTTTATCTGACAAACCATGATTCATCATTTTATTATCTTTACCCAAAACAGTTAGGGTAAAACAATGTTATCCCTAACACCCACAACTTTAAAAGGCCTTGGTAAGGCCACATTTGGAATACTGCATTCACAATGTCAAAAAGACGTTGAGACTCTGGAAAGAGCACAGAGAAGAGCAACCAAGATAATAAGGGGACTGGATGTACAAAGAACAGTTTCAGGAATTGGGTATGTCTAGTTTGATGAAAAGAAGGATTGTGGTGGGGACAGGACAGCCGTCTTCCAATATCTCAGGGGCTGCCGCAAAGAAGAAAGAGTCAAGCTATTCTCCAAAGCACTTGACGGCAGGACGAAAAGTAACGGATGGAAACTCATCAAGGAGAGAAGCAACCTGGAACTAAGGAGAAATTTCCGAACAAAACAATTAATCAACTGCACAGCTTTCTTTCAGGAGTTGTGGTTGCTCCAACACTGGTTTTGAAGAAGAGATTGGACAACCATTTGCCTCAAATGGTTATAGAGTTTCCTGCCTAAGCAGGGGGTTGGACTAGAAGACCTCTGAGGTCTCCTTCCAACTCTAATTCTAATTCTTGAGGGCCTGTCATCAAAAGGGGGTTGATTTATCCTCTAAATTTCCCAAGGACAGGAGATTTTAGGACCCCTGGACATTGTGACCATCATGAATATGTGTCAGTGGCCAAGCATCTGAATTTTAATTATTTTGAACAGTCACTACCCTGTTTCCCCGAAAATACGAGCTACCCTGAAAGTAAGTCCTAGCTTGATTTTTATACTTGCACCCAATATAAGCCCTACCCCCCACCCCCAAAATAAGCCCTAATTAAGATTCTGCCCACTCCAGAGTGGATAGGTAAAAATTAAGCTAGGTTGGGGATGGGGGGGCTGGAGCTGCCCTACTACTACTTACCTTTAGATAGTTGTAGCCAGACCTCGCACACCCCAACATCCTGCCATTTCTTCTGCAGCTGGCAAGGCTGGGAAGGCTTTCCCTGAAGGCCTCTGGAGCTGAGAACAAAGCTCTGGATCGATCCTGAGCTCAGTTATCTGCTGCAGAGGCCTTCAGGGAACCCTTGCCGGCCACAAAAGTTTCTGAAGGCCTCTAACAGCGAAAAGGAGGCTGGGGGTGACGTGCGCAAGTGAGGTTAGTCAGTGGATGACATCCCCCGAAAATAAGACCTGGTGCCTTTTTTTTGGTGGCAAAAAATAATAATAAGACAAGGTCTTATTTTCGGGAAAGCACGGTACACGAATGGTTGTAAGTCAAGGGCTAACATGATTTATTTCTGATCTATATTTTCTTATCCACCAATCTATTCTGTGCAGGTCGTCCTTGAGTTACAACAGTTCGTTTAGCGGCCGTTCAAAATTACAACGGCATTGAAAAAAGTGACCATTGCCACGTCCTCCGGGTCATGTGGTCTAAATTGAAATGCTTGCTCGCTGACTCATACTTATGATGGTTGCAGTGTCCCAGGGGGTCATGTGATCCCCTTTTGTGACCTTCCAATGAGCCAATGGGGGAAGGTAGATTCACTTAACAACTGTGTTACTAATTTAACAACTCCAGTGATTCACTTAACAACAGTGGCAAGAAAGGTTGCGAAAGGGGGCGAAATTCACTTCACAAACATTTCGCTTATTTTAGGCTCAATGGTGGTTGTAACTTGAGATTCTGCTTGTACTTTGCAGAAAAATACAGTATATCAACGGATATTTTCCTGGCATTTTCACTCTTTAGAATTTTCCAGGGACCTTTTGACATAAATGTAAACTGACTTTAGGTCAAATTGAACTCTGGTGAGTTGTTTTTGTTCTGTGCATCATGTACAACTAGACAAAGAGTTATTTCTGTAACCAGAATTGGAAATCCATCACACACACACACATCTTCATGGTTACCCCAAAAAACCCCAAATCCCTCCTTCGGCTAAGTTTATCCATCTCTTTCAATTATATTTATTGAAATATTTTAATTATTGAAATATTTTAATTATTGAAATATTTTAATTATTGAAAATAACATATTTTAAATATTATATTGTTCATAATAGCAAACCAAAAGGAAAAAAAGTCAAAAACAAAACAGGAAATAAAACCCGCAAAATGAAGAAACATAAAGATGTCCTTCTCTTGAACAGATAATTAGATTTTTATTGTTTCTCGTCCCTCTTAAATATTTTACAGATCCCTTCATCCATTTAGTTCTCCTCTTTCTCAATCTTCAGATCCATAAATCATCCATTCCTTATTTTTCCTTTTCTAGCAAAAAGTCCATAAAAAGCTTCCAGACTTTCAGAAAAGTTTCTTGTTTGTTCCCCTTTGACACTTCTTTGTGTGTGTGTGTGTGTGTGTGTGTGTGTGTAATTTTTTAAAAAAATATATATATAAAAAAAATCCATTCCATTTCAATCATGTGTCCATTAGGTACATATTTCAAATTATTTATCCATTATTATTATTATTCATCTTAAAACATAGCAGTAATCACACTCCCACATACGTAATATAAATACAATCTAGTATATCTATTACATTAATTCCTCTTATTACTTTATTACTATGTCTAATCCCTTTTAGTTTATTCTATTTTCTATCCATTGGTAATTATTTTCACCTCTATCTAATCACTCTTCCAGGTTTGGACAAATACAATTCTAGCCGCTGTTAAAACATGTATAATTAAATAAGTATTTTCTTTACTATAACCTTCTGGTACCATTCCCAATAAAAATATTTCAGGCTTCAAATCTATATGTTATTTGATCATTTTCTCCAACCACGTATGTATCTTAGTCCAATACCTCTTAGCTTTTGTGCAAGTCCACCACATATGATAATATGTTCCTGGTATTTGATGACATTTCCAGCATTTAATTGATTTGTCTTTAAACATTTTCGCTAGTTTTGCTGATGCTAGATGCCATCTTGTACAAATTCTCTTTGTATGCTGTCAATATTGTCAGTTTATAATTCCTGTCCCACAGTTTCTGCCACTTATCCAGTTCTATGGCATATCCCCAAAATTTTTGCCCACACGATCATCGTTTCTTTTACTTGTTCTTCTTCCAGCTTGACACCTAATAAATAACAGTATAATCTTTTAATTAGTTTATCCTCTATTCCTGTTAGTATTCTATCCAATTCTGTCAACTCTTTATTAATCCCTTCATCTTTAATGTCTTTTTCATACCTTGCTTGTATCTGCATATACAAATACCATTGTATCTCTAATCCTTGTTCGTGCAATTCTTGTTTTGTTTTGAGTTCACCCTTTTCATTTAAAATATCTTTATATCTAGTAATACTTCCAATTTTACAAACCTCTGGATATACAAGTGCATCTATTGTTGATAACCAGACTGGTACCTTTTGAACACTTCTGATGTTTCCCAATCAGTTTCTCCACTGTGAGAATTTCATTTCATTCCAGGCAGTCCCTGACTTATAATAATTCATTTAGTGACCATTCCAAGTTACAACAGCGCTGAAAAAAGTGACACACTTAAACGGCCCCATTCCTGGTTAGACAAATTACCCCTTCTGGGTTTACTATAATGCACAGAAGAAACCACTGTCATAAATACAAAACTCCACCACGGGACAGCTAACCAGGGTTAAGTCTAAACCAAGTTAGCGTTTCTGCAAATGAGATCAGTTTAATACCTGGGAATAAAACTAGGATTGAGGTTTTTCGTTTTCAGCATGACAAATCGAGGTTTCTTTTAAGTTTCTAGAGAGAGTAATCCAATCATTCCAATTGCTGCTGGAGTGTCTAGCTTCATCCTGGTTTGTTTGTTCTGCGTGGCGCTTTATGTCTACCTAAAGATGAAAAAAGGTGAGTAAAATTGGGCCTGCCTTTGTGTTACGTGGGAAGAAATTTCCCCCGTTCATTCCCAGCTGGGACACACATCACAGACGCTGAGAAGCAATGGATGCAGAAGACAGCTGCCAGAAAGTAGAATTCTTTTCATGTTGGAAGGCAAGAAGCAAAAAAAAAAAAAAAAAAAAAGTGACACCGTGCAAGCATTCCTGGCTTGCAAGCAGCTTGGGAATGTGAATCTGTGCCTTTTATGCTTAATTCCAGGGGTGGGCTTCAAATATTTTACCAAAGGGTTCTCTGCCTGGTTGCTGGGTGTGTGTGGCCTAGTTGCAGGGGTGGGATTCTACCTGGTCGGACCGGTTCTATAGAACCGGTTGTTAGGATTCTGCCCAGTTCAGAGAACTGGAAATCATGCTCTTGGCTGGCCCCTCCCCTCCCCGCCCAGTCACTCCTTACCTGGCATGCGCGCCATCAAACTTGCCTGTGTTTGGTAAGTTGCTATTTTTCCTGTTTTTTTCCCCCCGACCATCAGCTGTTCTGCTGTGCCGGGAGATTTAGATTAGCTAGAAAGCAAGAAATCATTTGATTTCTTGCTTTCTAGCTAATCTAAAAGCAGAACTGAACCTTCCTTAGGACTGAAGCTTCTATTTTTCAGTGCAGACTCAGGCAGCAGATTGCAGAAAGGTAGATCTCTGAGTGAATCTGTGATTCTGTGAGCAACTCAATCTGCCTGCCTGCTTTGCCTGATTTTGGGTAAAAGTTGCCTTTTTTTAATATAAAAAATTCAATATTTACATAAATATTTACAATATTTACATACAAGCCATGCCCAGCCAGTCACATGACCACCAAGCCACATCCACAAATTAGGCCACACCCACCGGTTGTTAAGAAATTTGAATCCCACCCCTGCCTAGTTGGTCTCCTGCACCACAGCGGGTGGGGGCCTTTTTGCCCTCCCCGGGGCTCCCGAGGCTTTCCTCAAGCCTCCGGGAGGGCAAAAATGGCTTCCCCGGGCTCCGGAGGCTCTCTGAAAGCCAGAAAAGGGCCCATTTCCAGCCTTCCCAAACTTATAGGAGGCCCGTTTTTCACCCTCCCTGCGCAGCCTGCATTTACATGCATCCAAAACAGGCCATGTGGGGACTCCTGGGAGGGGAGCGGAGGGGTGGGTGGGGCCAGCCAGGAGTGGGATTTGGGGGTTCCCTGAACTACACAGAATCTTAGCTAGGGGCTCTCCCGAACCTCTGCAAACCCCCAGCAGCCTAGCCCTGCTTAATTCCCCTTTGAAGCCCCTGCAGCTTGATGGGTTTTGATGTGTTTCTGATTGCCCTGGGTTTTGTTTTCCTGGGTTAATCTTGGTCCCAGGTCTTTTGTTTTTCCTCTCCTTGGGATTTAATCCTGTCCGGGGCAGGAAAAGGGGAGTTCTGGTTTTGCCTTGGAGAGTTTATTTTTAGCCTGATTCCCCCTTATCTTAATGGCTCTATTTAGGTATTTCTGTTGGCAGCTCTGTTAGCAGGGCTGCTCTGAGTTTTCCTTTCAGCTGATGCTTCTTGGTTTTCTTAAAGGAGGAAGGGCTGGCTTGAGTCTCTTGGCACTGTTTTCTGAGGTTTCTTGTGCTGTGAGGGTTTTTGGGGGGGCACTGTCGTTTTGGAGTGTACTTCCCACAGTTACAAATCAAAGGATGAACAGTTTGGAGGTAAGATTAGGATGGCGTTTTTCAAACGTGGCCACTTTAAGAGGTGTGGATTTCAACTCCTAGAATTCCCCAGCCAGTAAGCATTCTGGGAGTTGAAGTCCACACCTCTTAAAGTGGCCACGTTTGAAAAAACACACAACAGACAACAGACGTAGCGTGCTAGAAAGATGACTGTCTTATTCAGTGTAAAAGGAAGGGGAGGGAAAACACAGGCTTTCAAGATGGATGCCAGCCCTGCAAGGTAGGCCAGCTCAGCAAACTGTTTGACTGGAGCTTTAACTGTTGATATAAAAACCTCGGCCGTCACATTCAGATAATGTGGGGGAAAGAAATAGATTATAATTTACAACCATGAATTTTTGCAAATGTTTGCTAATTCTGTTTTTCTCTTGTGTCCAGGTCTAAGGAGCAGCCATACAAGGTCTGTAGAAGTTTGATATCTTTCTGTTAGCTAGTTCTTGACTTACGACTGTAACCGGGAGCAGAATTTCACTTGCTCAACAAGAAACATGCTGGTTTTTTTTCTTTTTTGCTACGGTTGTTGAGTGGAACTTGGCAATTCTTAAGTGAATTACACGGTCATTAAGTGAGTCTGGCTTAACATTAAGTGAATTGCTTGTCGGAAAGTTGTAAAAGGGGATTCCATGATTCTGGGAAACAGAAACCATCATAAATACGAGTCGACTGCCAAGCATAAAATGGGCATAAAATTCACTTAACAAGTGAATTTTGTTAAATTAGTTAACACTTAACTAACATTACCTTGTTTAGTGACAGAAATTTGGGCTCAACTGTGGCCGTAAGTTGAGGACTACCTGTATCTAACCTGACAATCCCTAAGCTTGCTGCAGAATTCATTCTCCTTCTCTTACAACCAGTCCAGCCGGGGGTGGGGGGTGGGGTTGGACTAGAAGACCTTTTGAGGTCCCATCCAACCCAATTATTCTATGAAGCTCCTTCTCTTTCTCTGGCTGTTTTTATGTGGTTTTTTCAAACCCAGCTGGGGGTTTTTCAGGGACTTGATTGCTACCAAGAAGCTTGGAGCTGGGATGGAGTGGCATCCAGCCAGCTATTTCGATCCTGCTACTCTCTCCTTTTATTTTCCCTTTGGAAAATTCATGGCAACCCCCCTCCAAGGAGATGGCATGCCAGGCGGGGGACGGGGATAGGAGGGGGGGCAGAGAATTAAAAGCTTTAGCTCCTGCAGGGCCGCTCTGCCCATCGCATTCAAAGAGCAGCCCCTGAGAATGGCATTAAAGGGAAGACAGATGGATTTCAGATCTGTAATCTGGTTTTAATTGGGGGGGAGGCAGCTGGGATTAAAAGCTGCGAATGAGCCTGCTGAGTCTGGAAATGGTGCTAATTTGATTCCACCCTGTCTATAGTGCTCTCTCTCGCTCTCTCTCCATGGCT